CTGGTTAACATGTATTAAAAGGGGTCGTGTTTAGTCACTATTTAGTGTGGTATTTTCTTACAATATTCACTCATCATGACAGTAAAATAGGGCATTCTAAGTCAATATACTGCAGTATTTCCTCTCAATCAGTAGAAAATATGGTTAACACCCGGTCATGCATGAAAAAAAATTACCGTCATGTACCGTGAAACTGGTATAATTTTGAAAAATACCGTGATATAAATTTTTGGTCATACCGCCCAGCACTAGTAGTGTCCTTGAATATTTTAGTTTTTTCTATATTATTCTTATGTTAATTTCTGTATGTGCATAGAGAAAAAAAATTCACTGCACATCGTATTATGTATGGATGTGTGTGTGAGACAAAATTAAATTTGAATTGAAATGGAAACGAACTACAGTACTTGTCTAAAGTTCGGAAACATTACAACTTTTAAATCTTTTTAATGGAGTCTCTTCTGCTCACCAAAGCTGCATTTATTTGATCAGAAATACAGTAAAAGCAGTGAAATATTATTACAATGTAAAACAGCTATTTTCTATGTGAATCTCTGTTAAACTGTAATGTATTTCTGTGATGCGCAGCTGTATTTTCAGCATCATTACTCCAGTCTTCAGTGTCACATGATCTTCAGAAATCAGTATAATATGCTGATTTACTGCTCAAGAAACATTTCTGATTATTATCAATGTTGAAAACAGTTGTGCTGCACAATATTTTTGTGGGAACCATGATGTACTACAATTCAATATTTTAGGGTGCGTGTATTTTTTAATATAAATTAATACTTTTATTCATCAAGGATGCATGAAATTGATCAAAAGTGACAGTAAAGACATTTCTAAAGATTCTATTCATCAAAGAATACAGAAAAAAGTTTCACAAAATATTTATATTTTTAACATTGAAAATAATCAGTACCATTATAAGTAACTGAGCACCAGCAAATCAGCAACACTGAAGACTGGAGTAATGATGCTGAAAATACAGCTGCGCATCACAGAAATACATTACAGTTTAACAGATATTCACTTAGAAAACAGCTGTTTTACATTGTAATAATATTTCAGAATTTTTACTGTATTTTTGCTCAAATAAATGCAGCCTTGGTGAGCAGAAGAGACTTCATCAAACTGAAACACAGACACAGACAGCTGAAACACAGACACAGACAGCTGAAACACAGCCAGCGTGTAGACCTGAAATACAGACACAGACAGCTGAAACACAGCCACAGACAGCTGAAACACAGCCAGACAGCTGAAAAACAGACACAGACAGCTGAAAAACAGACACAGACAGCTGAAACACAGCCAGCGTGTAGACCTGAAATACAGACACAGACAGCTGAAACACAGCCACAGACAGCTGAAACACAGCCAGACAGCTGAAAAACAGACACAGACAGCTGAAAAACAGACACAGACAGCTGAAACACAGCCAGCGTGTAGACCTGAAACACAGCCAGCCATAAATGCGTCTATGTTCGCGCGAATCATTCTTGATCCAGCTTCACCAACAGAAGAAGTGAGTATACGTTTTTTTAATGAATCTTTGCAAATTGCCTTTCCTAATAATGTGCTAATTAGCAAGTTCCCGCAGCTAAAGTTAACAGCCACAGACAGCGTGTAGACCTGAAACACAGATCAGAGCAGCTCCTGTGCCAGAGCCGCTGCATCCCTCACGTCTGCTCACCTTCTCCGGCTGCGTGAAGGTCCCGGCGTTGCAGGGCGTTCTAGGGTCCCAGAGCCTCACAGACATGTCCCAGCTGCCCGTCACCATCACGTTGACCTCCGGACAGTACTCCACGCAGCGGATGGGAGCGT